GGGGAAGTGAGCTGCAAGAGGGAAAGCTGGGAGACTTGTTAGGAAGCTGTTGCAGTAGTCCCGATACTGCAGTAGAGGGACAATGTGGATTGAATTAGAGAGTTGGTTGTAGACATGGAGAAAACTGGAGCCAGAACATGCTGATGGATTGGATGTGGGGATTGAGCGAAAGGGCCACTTACTGAGACAGAGAGATAAGAGAGGGGTCCTGGGGAGGGGATTTGGATGATTTGCATGAGAGGGGGCACGAAGGGAAGAGTTGGGTGAGGCCCAAGTCCCTGACTCCTGCTACTCTGTGGCTGGTGGTGCCATTTCCAGAACCAGCGAGCCTGGGCCATGGAGCAGGTTTGGAGAGGATGCTGGAGATTCAGGTTTGGCAGTCCCGGGTGCCAGGGGACCTTCAGGGGAAACTGCCTAGTTCAAAGTTACCCCCTGCTTTATGCTCCTGACCTGTGGGTACAGGGTCTGTATTTGGTGTGGTGGTGGAGGTGCTGCTGGTTGGTTGGTTTTTGGTCAGGCAGCCCCCAGTTAGCTGCACTTAACCTTCAGCCTCTTTTTTTTTTGCCCCAGACCTGTACCCACCGCCCCCAAGCAGGGCCCCTAAAGAAATGGTCTCTTTCTGATAGATTTTTCATCATAAGACAATTTTAACATAAAAGCAATGTTAATAAAAACCAAATGTTAGCTCAGGCCTTCCAGTAAATCATAATAGATTAGATGCTGCCCCGAAATGAATATCCCACTGTGGAAAGGGTTGACCGGCTGGAGGAAGGCGCTTGTTGTGATTCAATTGGGCCGCATAATGAATTCTGGTTCATATCTGTAATAGAAAATGCCCAAGGGAGGGGGTAGTTTTGCAGCTTTTGTATTCTTAAAGGCTCCCCCACTCCACCCACCACCCTTTTACTCCTGCTCCCTCACTTATCACTGTTTTCCCAGAGCATCTTAGGCTTTTTGTGTTTTGTTTTGCTGAGAAGTTACTGGAACATGAATAAGAGGTATGGGAAAGGTTGAAAGGTAATAGGATAAAGGGAGCTTTTGCTTTGCAGGGAGCCGGCAAGACACTTTGGACCCGGACTGACACATAATCAGGACTGGAAGTACATTGGCAATCAACCCAACATCTGGTCAGCTTTCGAAATAGTTGGTCTGTAGTTTTCCAAAGCAGGCCAGGCTTGTGTGGCCCGCTACAGCAAAGAGACCTGTGTGGTCAAAAGACATTCTTTTGAGCCCCATTTACCTGGTACTTGTGGTCTCTTTATCCAGGATGGTCTGTCTACTTCTTTTTTATGTAGCTTCAGTTGGGGCCTTTTCTACCCCGTTTCTGAATAGGGGCTCCCATTCAGGAGAAAAAAATCCAGAAATCAGTACTTGGAGGGGAAGTTTAGTAACTGGTTCCTGACATCACGGAGCCACACCCTTCCCTTCTATTTTGGATTCGGTCAATTAGCTGGAAGCTCCAACCTCTCCCCCCACCCCCCCCCCCGCCCTGTGGTTGTTGGGTGGACTCAGGGGAGATGGGGAGACCCTTTCTGACTCATTGGGCAAACCAGCTCTGACCCCACGGGAAGGGAGCAGAAAGCGTGCAGGCTTCATGCAGGAAGCCTGAACTCACCCAGCTCCTCCTGGGCCATGTGAAGTGCATCTGGGTTTCCTTGGAATTTGTCACGCAACACTTAAGGGTTGAAGCAACTATTTCATACAGGACAATATGTTATCCTGAGTGTTTATTTCAGTCAGAGCAAAATGGCCAGCAAAAAAATACAGTCAGGTGTAGCAAAACCTGCCCTTCATGACTGCAAACCTGCATGTGTGCGCGTGTCCAGCCATCCCTCATGCATGCACACGAGCTGCTTTACTTCCACAAACATAGCCTGACCAGGTCATGGCAGTCACCTGTTCATTCACTGTCATCAGCTACCATTTTGTTTGGACCCAGCGAGATATCTGGGGCTTTTGACTTGCTGCTCCAGCCTTGAAAGCTGAGGGTTGTTTCAGAGGCAGTGTGGGAGAGAGAGACATGGGAGGGGAAATGAGGCACCTGACCCAGGAGGAACTTTGGGGGAAAGAACGGGGATATTTAAAGGTGTTTTTTTTTTTTTTTTAAACAAGGTTTTGCAAGTGTTGTGTGGAATGGACCCTGCCTTGTCTCCCTCACTGTAGAATGTGTTGCAATACCGAGACTATTTAGGGAAAGTGCTGGAAGCCTGGCAATCACCTTGAGGGGCGGGAGGGGGGTGGGGGGAGTTGGAAACTGCTGATTCAGCCAGAAAACAGCCATGTGCTGTCCTAGCTGCCCTCCGGGGATCCCAGTGTCCAGGCCCTGCCTGTCCCTCTCCCCCCACCCCCAAGGTGTGCCTCTTTGCTTGCCCCCAAAACCCCATCCTCCCCATTTACCAACCCCTTGCAGCCCCGCCTTGGCCTGGCAAGTCCTGTGCCCTGTGCAGTTGGAGGCAAACTCCTGCTCCCCCTCCCCCTCCCCCATCCCACCTGACAGCTGGGCCCTGGCTTCTCTTGACTTGCTAAAGAGAAAGTTTTAGCTTTTGTTAGGTTGTTCTTCTCTTGTTCGCTCCTTCTTTCTTTTATCACACAAACTATGTAGAAATGTTAAGCCACGTCAAAGTAGAATCCCCTTCAGCATGTAATAGTGACAGGTACAGCTGTTGCACCCATGTCTGCAGCTGCTTTTCACTGGACCCTGAGCACCACCCTGGTGGGGGGAGCACTCTGCACAGGGGAGGAGACTGGGGGCCAAAGAGGTTAAGTATCAAAAGCAAGCCCCTCCCTCATCTGCAGCTCCTCTCTCCCCCCTCCCCAACCCTGTGTGGAAGGTACCCTGGGAGAGACGGCGCCCACAGGTGGGAAGAGGCCACGGAAGTGCTGGCCCCTTGGAGGGCAGGCCCCTTGTGCACCACTTGCCATGCTGGTCTCCCCGTGAGGCGGTCCCGCCCTCCCTCTGATCCCACCCACTTTTGGGATCCTCCTCCCTCCAGCTGTGTCTCCAACCTTGTCTGTGGCCCTGGGGATGTGACTTGGCATCTCTGGGCCTTGACTTCCTCACTATGGGACGAGGCTGCGCGGGAATCTGGTTCAGAGAAGCTCTTGAAAGGTTTCAGTCCTCCCACTCTTGCTCCACACGCCACGGAGCCTCCAGCTGAGGGAAGGTCAGGATAACCTTGGAGTGTTTTTCCCATCAAGAAGATATTGCCATAGATTCCCTCGTTTTTGATAAATTCTAAGGGAGTGAGGGGTAATAAGGGGAAGGAGGCCAGATGGAGCCCGCCGTGGAAATTCAGGAACTGGCTACGTCTGTCTCCGCCGGTCCTGCTGGATCCCGCGGGAGCCTGCTGCAGGGCCCCTTCTGTTGTCGTCTTTGAAGTGGGGTGATCGATGGTCAGGCCATAAAGTTGGGGGGCGCAGGGCAGGCCCAAGGACCTTTCTTTTTCCCTCAGAACCACTGACTGACAGTTTCCAAGGGGCCAGAGTGAAAGAATAGAGAGATGTTAGGACGGCGTTGACATCTCTGGAAAAAAACAAATGCCAAAAAGATCCAGTTGAGGTTCTTCTTGCCATTTAATAAACCAGAATGCTTCGGAGCTAGACATTTAGCATCAAAATGGGACATAGAATCCACAAATTAAATTTTCATTGCAATCAAATTTTTGACAAAGCCACGTTGCTGGGATTCGCGCGAGTGGGAACGACCCCTCTCGCGGACCAAGTCGTCCCTCACCGGTGTCATCTCCTTGGCATGACTTCGCCTCCGGCTGGGAGCTGGAAGGAATTCAATAAAGCAAGATGTATTGTTCTGGTTGATTCCGTCAGCGCGTGTGTGCTGGGGGGAGTTACTCAGCATCGCACAATCGCTCTTCAGTGCTCTGCTCTGGTTTGTCAGGGTTCTAGATGAAGCGCCATATCCTACTCCCGGCGCCGTATTTCAAGAGTTCCGAGAAGTGCCACCTTCCCCCCTTTGTAGAATAACAGGAAAGGACGTGCCTCCAGCACAAACTCCGCTCAGCTCTCCCAGCTCGTGGCAAGTGAAATGTTCATTTCTGCGCATGTGTCTTCCAGAACCAAGTCGGAGTAGAGGATAGGGATTTGGAGCACCTTGCGTCCCAGACTGGCTGTTCAGGCAGCCCCGCAGGTCTTCTGTGGCCCTGGCTCCCAGGGTCTACAGCTCCTGGCGTAGGTCCCTGCCCTCCCCCACCGTCTGTCCCTCTTGTCTTTGTCTTCTAAAAGCTGGCTGCTACTGGTTTTCACTGGAGAAAAAGTGTTCCTTTGCCTCTTAAAGGTAGATCTCCCTCAGTTTCTGTTGGCACCTTTTTTAAATAAAGCTTTGGCTTGAGTCTCTGCTCAGGCCTCCTCACCTGGTACACCTGCTGCCTCCTTTGCGTCCCCGTGTGTGCATGGGAGGGGGCCCAGCGCTGAATTTGGTGTTAAGAACTTGGCGGGACTTTCTGCCTCCTCTGTTCCTCTCGTTCCGTGTCTCCCACCCCCGTGGAAGGTGTCTAATAGTCTGATACAGGTGTGGCCTCCGGTGGCACATGGGTCTGGAGCACGAACGTCACTCCTTTTCTATCCCATGTCTGCCTCCTCAGACCAAGCCTAGGAGTATGCCACCGCTGGGGCTAGTCTGTCTTCAGTGCCCTTTAAAGTGCCCACCAGCCTCTTTTTAACAGACAGAGCAGTCTCGGGCCACAGAGAGGAGCCAGTCGGCAGTCTGGCTGAAATTGGTTTCCTTTCTTCTTAGTCACTGTCCTTTGCAACAATGCTGCGTCCCCACTTATGAGTGGTGAGAGCCAGCACGTGCTAACGTGCTCACCTTAGTTCCCTTTACAGAGACTCTGAGGTGAGTGGCCACATGGGCAGCACTCAGTCGTGGAGGAATCCTGAAGATGGGCCGTGCTGGCCCAGGTTGAGCAACCGCGGGGAGGGGCCCACACGGGAGCTGGGCCTCGGCGCAGCTGCTCTGCTGACAGCTTGCCCACTGTCCGTTCTAGGCATGGATCCTGAAAAACTGGAGCGAATCCAGCTCCCAGTGCCGGGTGCGGCCGAGAAGACCACCTACAACCACCTACTGGCCGAAAGACTCATCAGGATCATGAATAATGCAGCGCAGCCAGGTGCAGGGGCCGAGGGCTGTGCCAAAGCGTGGTGGGGTGAGAGGGGCCGGGCCTGGCACCTTTGCCCTTTCCTCTCCTTCCACCCTCAACCCTTCTTTTGCCAGTGTCTGCAGCCCTCCTCTCTAGGGGGCCTGAGGTCATGTTTGAGCACGAGATTGTGAGCCAGGGTGCCCTCGATAACACGAGGTGTGCCTGGTGCCTGGCACTGGTCAGCCTAGTTCTGAGGTTCCAGCCAGCACCCACCTGCAGCCACAGAAATTGCAGCAGCGTGACCTGTGGTTCTCAACTGGGAGTGCCTTTGCCCTGCAGGCACTCAGGCCTTTGCCTGAGCAGTGTCTGGAGACATATTAGTTGGAACATCTGGGAGAGATGTTCCCCTTGGCATCTAGCGGGAAGGACAGCCTGCAGCAGGCAGGAATGCCCTGACAGCAAAGGATTATCTGTCTAAAGCGTCAACAGTGCACAGGTTGAGAAAACCTGACTGGAAGGCAGGTTCTGGGTGGAGGCAAGGGAGAGGCCATGCGGGTGTGTGTGGTTGCACAGGGCAGGCCCTGTGAGAGGCGGCCCGTAGCGAGAACAGCTGAGCTGCCTGATCAGGATTCCAGGTAGGGCTGGAGAGAAGGGCAGGATGGGAACTTGCGATTACAGATAGACAAGGCCTCAGAAGCCAAGGGCAGTGGGCTCCAAGTGGTGGCAAGAGGTGCAGCGCGACTGCAGGGAGTGGTGTGGGGGCTTGGGGAGCCAGACATCCACAGAGCATCAGTACGCTTGCCGACTGGCTGTTGCGGGCCTCTGTGTGCCAGTCACTGTGTGCAAGTGGTGAGGGCACAGGAAGGGCAGGACAGACATGGCTTCTGCCCTTCAGACTGCAGTGGGGGGTCTGAAGTGGGCCGCAGAAGTGGGGCTACTGTGTAGAGACAGCACCTGCAGTGCAGGGGGAGGTCAGGCCAGGACTAACATTGTAGGACTTGGTTGGGTGGAGTTTAAAGCCCCAGGGGAGAACTGAGGAATGTCTAGGACTGAGCCCTGGGCCACTTCAGGTATCTGGAGGTGAGCCAGGCTCCACATGGGAAGAAGGGCGAGGGAGGGGCGTCTTGGGGAGCAAGAGAGACATTTGTGACTCAGAACCAAGGGGCCGCTGCTAAGGTCCAGTCTGAGGAGGCAGACCTGATGAGGGTGGCCGAGCGGTGGTTGGCAGGAGCTCTGTGAGCTGGCTGTGGCTCTATGGGCAGGGTAGGCGGCGCATGGCCTTGAGCTTGGGAGAGGGTGGGGGAGGGATGGTGGGCCCTGGAGGACCGGTGTACAGAACAGCCTGGATTTCTGAAGAGGTTGAGGAGCTCAGAGGAATAGTCTGGAAGCTGTAGTAGAGACTGAGGGGCTTGCTGATTTCTGGTCCCTCAAGAGATGGGGAGAAGAGTCTGTACTTGGCAGGAGCTTGCAGAAGAAACAGGTGTTGGTGGGAAATCACATTCCACATCCGTAGAGGCAGCATCAGTGACAGACCCGCAGTGGGCCTGGCAGAGTTGTGGGGGGCAGAAGTGTTTCTATGCCCTAGAGAACACTGAATTTGAAGGAGGTGGGTGGCTGGCACAGGTGGGTATCTCACAGAAGTGGTGGGCACTGGGGTGGGTTGGAAAGGGGGAGATGTTTAAGGGCAAGCAGCAGGGGTCGAGGCTGACCCTGGTGTGCTCTGCAGACGGGAAGATCCGGTTGGCGACGCTGGAGCTCAGCTGCCTGCTCCTGAAGCAGCAAGTGGTGACCAACTCGGGATGTATCATCAAAGACGTGCACCTGGCCTGCCTGGAGGTGAGGGCCTCTCCCCACCACTGCCTGCTCAAGCAGGGGAGAGTGGGAGCGGGTCGGAACGTGGTCTCAGAGGTCCACCACTGAGAAGATGCTCACACCTTGACACCCCCTCAAGCCACTTGTTTCAGCAGCGCGTCCCTCCCACTGAGATTGGCTTGATGAGTCCTATTAATGATTCAGTTGTAGTTTCTGTTCTAATTATTTGACTCTGTATGTGTCCCTAGCATTTTTCATTTTAATTTTTTAGTCATAAAATGTTATGCATGCACAAACACATTTATTTACTTATCGGTTGTTGTGTGCTAATATGTCCATGTATTTTAAAAGTCTTTTATTGTTCTGCTCCTATTTTCCTTTATTTTAGAAATTTTAGAAAGTATAGGAGGCAGAAAGTAACAATTCCAGCCGACACTCTGTGTCCTCCAGATGCCTGTGTTATGAATGAAGACTTCTCGGCCCCAGTTTAGAGCTCATCTCCCCCTCTAGCGGCGTGCTCTGACTTCCCATGGCATCGCATGACCCACCTGTCCTTTGCCCACTTTTATCCTGAGCCCTCCTCCCCTCCCCTGCTGCGTCCCCTTGTTAAGAACCACTTTACACATGAAGGACCTGAGCCCGGCATCCACCTCACACACACGCGGGGTTTAGAATTCACCATTTACCCAACTCACCCGCCTCCACAGGACTTCCTCCCTCACACCTCCCCTCTCTTTCAACAGGGCGCGAGAGAAGAAAGTGTCCACCTCGTGCGTCACTTTTACAAGGTAAATGGCCGCAGCTCAGGGAAGCTGAGGTGCGTGCGTGGTAGAAACAGGAAAGTCGCGGGTCTTTGGTCCTTATGCCTGTGATTACTGAGTGAAAAGGCTCAACCTCGTCATCTGCAGAGCAGTGGCCTCTCAACATGCCTGCCCGTGCAGTCCCATCTTGCAGACTCCCGCCCTGGGTGTGCTGTCAGTTACATATGAATTTGTCTGTGGATGAATTTGTATGTGAATGAGTTACGTACATAATACATGTGGCTATACTGTACACGTGGATTTACATGTGGACGGGCAGGAGGACACAGAGCAGGATCTCTATGACCCGAGCAGTTGGGGTAAAGGAGGAGTCCTGATGCCCTCAGTGGCTTTTCAAACTTTTATTGGGATTTACCAGGTTCATGGCTGGCAAGGGATGCCAGGGGGCCTGCCAGCCTCCCAGCCCCCAGCAAGTCTTCACTCTGTCCGGGCTCTCAGGCGTTCTCTGGTGGGCTCTGCTTCTCATCACTCTCTCGCTCTTATTCTCTCTGCTTCTCTGCTGTCTTGGCGTCCCGTGACACCGCCCTTATAAGCTCAGTCTCTCAGCCCAGGTGTACCCACTTTCGCATACCCACACCCCACTCCAGGTGCCCGCCATCAGGCTTGCATTCAGGACCGCTGGGATCCATCATCCATCCTAATGGCAGGAGGACAGAAAAGTCTGATACTTTTTACCTTACCCTACAACATGTTCATGAATTATTTATGGTCATCCAGATAAACTCGTGAGTCACATGTGAAATTACAAGTGATGTTCACATGTATTTTAGTTGTGTGTCTGTGCACAAGAAGCCCCATGTCGGCATCTAAATATTTATCATTAAGTTTAGTGAGATTGTGTTAAGGTCCACCACAAGTTTCAGTTTCTGAACATGTGTAGATATTTGTCTTCAGGTTCCAGATGCTTTGTTTTAAAAGATCTAATTGTGATGGTTTTGTTTAGTGTTAATCTTAAGGCATAATATAGTCTTTGGCAAGCTCTTCATTTGTCAGTAATAGTGGATCGGTTCATATGTCAAATAGGCCTAATAATTTTCTGAATTTTTTAGTCTCCACATCAGATCTCTCCAGCTATGATGATGATGGTTTCCCCACTTGACATGGCTCACGGAGAGATCCTCTAAGAGGAAGGCGTCAGTGCGGTCATTTTCGTGTTCCCCTGCACATTTGCTATTTATAGTCTCTTTCAACTACTGTGAATTATATACAGACATGCACAGGAATCTGCCACTTTACAGGAAACTTTTTAAGCCGCTGGCCGTTATTGTCACTGTTTGTTGAGATAAAACCAGGTCATGCAATCTGGAAATCAACCTCACTGGGCTCAGCCGGCCCCATGCAGCTGCGACACGGTGGGCATCCCCAGCCCTGGTCTCCCCTAGACCATGAAGAGCTGCACTTGGCCTCTCCATGAGGATCCACAGCCTTCAGCAGAGCCCAGGAGAAAGGACAAGCCTCACAGTTGCTTTCGTTACCTTTGAGTCTCTTCCCCACCCAATTGTCCAGTTATTCCCCTCCTTGAAAGCTCTAGATTGCAAAAACAGAAAGACAGATAGGTAGACTTTTTCCTAGAGGGCTTTTCTTCTTCACCAACAAAAGGAGAGCTGTATTTGAATTTCAGCTCATTTCTTCCAACCTAGATTTTTCTCTTGCTTTTAGGCTGTAAAGTTTACACCCTAAGTGTAATATCACAAAAGTTTTTGGATGTCTTCAGGGGTGGTTATTTCTGTGGATGGTCCTAACATCGCCCTCCATTCAAGAATATTCAAGTTGCTATTCAATTCTAGAACAAGTGGAAATATATATGAATGGCCTGTTATACCACCCAGATGCTGTGTGTGCACACACACCTCATTCAGAACTCGTGAAAGCAAGAGGGCAGTTCAGCCAAATCCCCCCACCTCACCACCCCCCTCCAGCTGTGGTCCATCCACTCGTGCTCACAACGGCAGTGAATACTGACAGGTACTGGCAGGACTGAGGGGCAGGCTCTGTGCTCGGCACTTAATGCCCCCCAGCTCATTTCACGTTCACGGTGACCTATGCAGGCGTGGGCTGCCCTCCCAGCCTTGCAGCAAAACAAGGAGATGCTCCAGGAGGTCTAAGTGGGCAGGGCCCTGATTTATGAATCTCAGAGCCAAGTTCTTACCCACTACCCCGTTCTGACTGCGACCTCCTGGACAGAGTACAAAACCCCAAAGGCACGTCTCCAAGATGAATGGAACAAGCTGTGTAAGTCTGGGATTAGGCATATTTAATTATACTCTTCCTCTCAGAGGTCTGGAACCTCCTAGTTGTAACACGGCAGCGAAACCAGGATTTCCCATTTCTTCCACCATTCTCGGCAAAGAGATGATGTGAAACACTTGAGGTTTTAACCGTCTCTATATTTTATAAGGTATGCGCGGTGTTATTTTTGTTGTTATTTGTTTTGATTAATCACTTAGACAGAAATCTCCCACGTGTGCTTTCACAAGGGAGGAAGACGTTGAAAATGCAATTTAGAGCTGGTCTCTCGTTTGAGCGTGTGTGTGCGTTCACGTGTGTGTTTTACTTCCTGGTGATTTACGAGAACTTGCTAATGAGAAACAGATGGCCCCGAAAGCCCAAACTGCAGTTTAGAATACTTTGTTGTTTATGGAAAAAAGATATGCATAATCTCTTCCCTCCCGCCTTTGCGATTTTTAGGGAGAAGAAATTTTCTTGGACATGTTTGAAGACGAATACAGGAGCATGACAGTAAGTGTGTGTCTGCGGAGCTTGCCCTGCAAACCCAGAGACCCCGTCTCATGGGGTTTCTGACTGGCTAGCAGAGGGTGGTCCCCCCATCCCCCTGAAATCTCAGAGCACATCCTCTCCCTATGCTGGGCTGTGCCTCACGGGGCTGGGAAATGTACGCTGTATTAACCCTCCTGATCCCCACGTCAGCCCAGTGGAGTCGCTGTGCTCAGTTTTCCTCCTTTGACCCATAAGAAAGCAAGTGTCAGGAAGGTTGAGTGGGGTAGGCTGCCCACATTGGCCCAGCAATTGGGGGGCAGAGCCAGAGTCCTGAACAGCACAGCCCCCGGCCCTGCCTCCTCCTCTGCCACCGTGGGGACATTCTTAGCTTGAGCTCTTCCTGCTCTCCACCCTCCCTTTCTCTGTCTCCAGGCGGTGCACAGAGTTGTGGCAATGATGGGTCAGAACATCACGGCCCTCTGTCTTGTTCCTTCGTCCCTGCATCCCCAGCACCTGCCCCTTTAGTTGGCACTCCATAAAAAGATGATAAATGATCCCAGCCATGAACATTACTCACCCAAGAGCTAAGTGATTCGGGAAGTTTATAATAAACCTAAGTGTTTTAAAGTGTCAGAAAGAGACAGGCAGGCAGTGTGTGCTAAGTGGTTCCCTGGCCCCTGAGCCCAGTCCCCAGGTATCTGGACAGCTGGGCCCTTACCACACCCACCCTTGCTGTGCAGCCGAGCCTCCATAGAGCCTTTGCACAGGAGAAACAGAAATTAGCAGAATTGCAGAAATGCCCTGGCAGCCCCCAAGCCTCCTCACAGCTTGTGCGTAGTGTCCATGTGCACCCCACTTCTGCAGATGGCCACAACCATGGCCCCTGGTCTTCTGCTTTTGGAGCCATTAGTTAGTGCAGGCAGATTCACGTTTCCTTCCACTATGTGTTTGTTCTCCTGTCTGGAAATATCAGGCTCCCGTGTCACTTGATGTGGAGAAGCTGGGGCTCCCAAACCCTTGCTCATTTTCTGCTTGTGGTTACTTACTGGCTGTGCAGCCTTGCACGGGTTGCTTGCATTCTGAGTCTTGGTATTTCCATCTGTAAAATGGGGCCCACTCCCCATAGCTGCCCAGGCTGGCTGTATAGTGCCCGAGACACTCTGTGTTACACACACATTTGTTAAGTGTCCTTCACAATGCTTTCTAGACGATGCCTGGCTTTCTAGATGATGCCTTGCTTTCTAGACAATGCCTGGCTTTCTGGACAATGCCTGCCCATCAGCCCCTGTCTCCGAATGTGTCTTTAGCTCATCAGGGAACTAGTCACTAAGCTAAATGAAGTGAGGACAGGCCCTTGGTGCTGCTAAAACGCTAGTGGTGACCCCGCACTCAACTCGGGCCTTGACTCTTATCCCTTCACTCATTTCTCTTGTCACTGCTTATTTAATGCAGAAGGCACAGTGAACCTGACACCTGGCTTCCCACCCAAGAACAGGCTGGAGGGGCTTCCTGGGAAGGTTGTTGAGCCTCAGGGCCGAGTGGAGAGGAGTTGCCTGGGTGTGAAAGGCAGGCTGGGAGGGCCCTATTAGATCCGTTCCTGGTCTCAGGACTCTGCCACTTGGCTCTGGGGTAAGGGGGTTATATGGTGGCCCTCAGGCCTTTGGAGGAGTGTTCTTAAAGTGCCTAAAGAAAAGGCATGCTCTGGACTCCCTAGTCTGTTCTCAGGTATCTGGATGCTGCACCCTTGGCACAACCTGGCCCTGTTTAGCTTTTTCTTAGAGTAGAAAAGTAGTTGATATGATTGGAACCCCTTTCTCACAAAGGAAGGAAACACCCCCCCCAAAAAAAAAAACAAACAAAAAAAAAACCTGTGAAGCTTGAAGGAGTAAAATTCAGTAGAAACTGTCTGTGTGAAATGTCACTCCTTTATGATACCAGATGAATTAAGTGTCAGTGTAAGTGTTTAAAAAACCCAAAGGACTGTGACCAAGGTTGCGCAGTTACCAGGTAACAGAAGCAATAGCTAAGCAAGGATTTATTTTTTTAAAAAAGATTTATTTATTTATACAAGAACTGGGGTACAGGTCAGAGGTGTGGGAGGGTGAGAGAATCCAGCAGAGACAGAGCAGGGAGAACAGGCAGACAGACCAAAGACACTGCTGAGGGGAGCAGCGGATGAGGCAGGAGAGGTCTGCCACGCCATGTGAGTTTCTCCCTGGCCAGTCGGGAATTGAACCCGCGCTACAGAGGCTGTGGACAGCTTCATAGCGCTGCGCTCAACCCGCTGCGCCACTGAGGAGGCCCCTAACCAAGAGTTTAAGAGGCCACTGTCCGGAGGATTACACAGGAGCACACACACAAAGCCTTTAGCCAACAGCCACCCTGCCACGGAAGCTGCTTCTCTGGGACTGTCACCCTGGTTGGAAGTACAGAGAAGGAGGCCTGGAGTAGTCCAGGCTCACGCACACAGGGGCAGACTACCCAACGGGACCACCCCAAAGGGAATCAGCCTTCTTTGTGAAACCCTCTCCCCTCCCCCCAAACTCAGTGTGGAGAGGACTGAGAGGATAAGAAAGCAAAAGCTTTCACAGCAGGGATACAGCTGCTCAAGGGTTTCCGAGCAATAGCTCAAGTCAAAGTGAAATCTGCAAGTTAGAAAACGAAAGACATTCCACAGGCCTCTCCTCAGTCTTGTCAGGTATGTGCAGATAGAGATGAGAGGCCTCCCCAACCCCCGCCCTCAGTCAGGTTTCCTGTGTCTTTCTCCTAGATGAAGCCCATGAACGTGGAGTATCTCATGATGGATGCCTCCATCCTACTGCCCCCGACAGGCACGCCGCTGACGGGCATTGACTTCGTGAAGCGGCTGCCCTGTGGCGACGTAGAGAAGACCCGGAGGGTGAGTGAGCGCTGGACCAGGTCTCTCCCTAGCAGAAAGGAAGGGTCTCTGAGCCAGTCAGGGGCCCCTTCCTCCCACACAGCCTGCCACCTCTCCTGTCCCCCAAGTCCTTGGTTGGTTACAGAGGAGATCAGAACGCTTGTATCAGGCCTGACCTCAGACGTCAGATGCAGGGCTCCACCCCAACCCCTCACACCCCTGGGTGAGAGGAAGCTGGCTGAGGTTTCTGTGAGGGTGGAGGAAGGAGCAGAGAATGCCCTGCAGGTGAGCACAGCTGTGTGAAAGCCGGTCCAGACAGACACAGGTCCCCGGAGATGGTGTGATGTTAAGGTATCTGGGCGATCTGGGGGTGAGGCAGACGCAAATGAAATTGTGACTTGTGGCTCTGCCTGCCCAGAGAGAAAAGACCTATGTGAAGAGGAGATTAGTTCTCAGAACCCAGCTGAGTATGTTCTTCCGTTATCAGCACTTTTTTTCTGAAGCGTCTCACAGGCCCGTTCATGGTATTTTATCTCCCTTGTAAGATCACAGTTTCTTTCTTAGAAAGCACCATGACCTTTTCCTAGAAGATCATTCCCTGGAGACATAAATATTGGTGGATAAATTAGAGGAATTCACGGCACATGACCCCCTCATCAACCTGCATCTCCTCTGAGTTAATCTGGTGTAACCAGCGTGACAGAGGTGTTGAACTCTGGGATTTTGAGAAGCAGGAGTGACCTGCTGGGTCCACCCCCAGACAGGAAGATCTGTGGTCTTCCTTCACCCAATCAGAGATTTGGCCTCCCAGGCTTGGAAGGGGGGGGGGTGGTAAGAGAAGTGGAGGCGTGGGGGAGGGGCAGTAAAGGAAGTCAGACCCCAGTGTCTCAAGTCAGTCCAAATTCCCTGCCACGTCACACGCCCACACACCTCGCCAGGACCCACCCTGTCTGAGCCAATGCCGCCTTTCTTCTGCGGCTGGGCACATAAGCGTGTTTGTGGGTAGCAGTGTTTATACTGTGCATTGTTGGCATTGGCATCTGCTGGAAGACTGGTTATGACAAAGGCGAGTCGTGTCTCAGCGACTCTTTTGTGAGCAGGCATGCTCCTCCGGGCCTGAGCTCCCACGCTCTGACTGGCCTACGGGATGCTCCTCAGCCCGGTTGCGGGGAGGCTGCCCCCAACTGGACTGCAGTGTCCCAAGGCCATTGAGCACCCAGCCTGGAAGGTCCGTCCCTCTTGGCCCTGAACCAGAAGCTCCAGAAGGTTGTGACCTTGAGAGCTGCTGTCTGGGGTATATTCCACCTTTTTTGGTTCATAGTCCTTTGGGTTTTTTAAACACTTCTTTGAGCTCATATTCTTTGTTATAAAAGGGAATCATTCATATCAATTCTTTATAGAGATTTCCTTGGAATTCTACAACCATCCTCATGGTTGGTACTGTGTTATTCCCATGATACAGAGGAAGAAACTGGGGCATGAAGGTCAAGTGATTTGCTCAAGGTCACCCAGTTAGTAAGTAGCAGAGCCAGGGTTCAGCCCAGGTGGTGTGGCCTCCAGAGCCTGCTCTTAGCTGCTCTGACCTCCCATTGCCCCGGCTCCCTTCACAGTTGTTTCTTAGCTCTGCGCAGTGCTGGACTCCAAGGATGTGGGAGACACAGCCCCAGTCCACAAGGAGCCTGAGTCTAGAAGATGAGGTGAAAAAGGCAGCGGGTCAGCCCACGTGGCTGGGCAGTTTCTAAAGGAACAGGGGCTGGTCCCTAATCCTACCTGGGGCAGGAAGTGGAGCGGGCACCAGAGGGTGGTCCTTCAGCCGAGACAGTGGGGATGGGCTGGGGAGCAGGAGAGAGGTGGCGTGTTCTGGCCCCTTCAAGGAGGGGAGCGAGGCTGGAAGCTGCAGTGAGGGAGGCCCAGGGAAGAGGCGAGACTGAAGGGGCTGACCAGTGAGATCGCAGGGCCTTGGAACGCAGTAAGGGCCTTGACCATTGCCCGTTAGCCAATTCCTGACGCTGTGTCCTGCTGGCCTGTGGCTCACATCCACAGGAGAGAGTGGGAAAAATTCAGGGATGGCTTGGGCATTGGGGTTCCCCTCCTTCAGAGCCACTCTTCTTCTAGAGCGCAAGCCTCTCCAGGGCTGTGTGAGGGCTCAGTGAAAGGCCAGCACTCAGGCCGTGGCGGCTGTTGATGGGGAGCTTCTTGTCTCCCAGCCCCTGACATCTCATTTAGTTGCAGGTTCCCAGTGCTGCACACCCCCTCTGCCCCAGATGAGATGCACACCCCAAGCTGCTAAGTGAAGCAAGACAAAACCGCTGGGAACCTCTGGGCTTCCCTGGGGTCTCTTGTGTCTGATGAGTTTGTAAATGTAACTCAAGGGTCCCCTGGGTTTAGAGCCAGCGAGGAGGCAGAGTGGTGTGGAATAGGGCAGTCTATCTCAGAGCAAAGCCACCCACATTAGAAAAGCTTCCCTTTGTGAAGAATCATGTCTAAAGGGGAATTTCCACCACTCACCTCAGAACACTTTCTGTTGCAAGGCAGCTGTCTGGAATCTTCTGGAAGCTTAGCTCTTCAGCTCATTTCAATCAGAACACAGTAGTGTGCTTTGAGTTTGAGCAAAAGGAAGTGTATGGTTTAGCAAGCAATTGAGGGCTTATGTGGTTTGTTTCAAGTTCTTTGCTTGTATCCAAAGAACATTCCATTTCATCCTTTTGGATTCAAAGGTTTTCTTTTTTTCCCTTCACCAAGTAGTCTTTTCTAACTCTTAGGAGGCTGATCCTTTTCAGAAATCCCACCCTTTATTTTCCTTGAGGGCTTGTCAAAGAAGTTCAAACAACCCTTAGCTGTAAATCACTCCTAACTTGTAAACTGTTGCGTCGGGCAAAACCACACTGACAAAGACACGGGAGTCGTGGAGCAGACTACGTAATGCAGGATGCTTCTGAACAAGCAAGATCCTGGCCTTTTTATTGGTAGAATGATCACACAGCATCAGCCACGTGCATTAGGAGGACGAGGAGAAAAGGATGGGTAAAACTTAGGAATGTTATCTAGGGTTTGGGGGGACGTGAGGCTGCTGACCATGTTATCAGCTTGATGACCAAGTGTTGTCATCGAAACTGGACCCCAGACCCCTGGCCACGGCCCTAATCTTATCAACAAGGCATTCCACTGATCAGCTTCCCTTGTCATACATTGGTCCTTGGCCCCCCAGGCATCCCCCGTCATACCCTTCCCAGAGTGATCAAGCTTTCTGCTCTTGATTGATATGAAAGGCACCTTGTAAGGTTTGGCTACTATGGCTGATTGACTGTTTCTGAAGGGCAGTTCTGACCTTGTATAGGAATGCAGAGCTGCAGGTAACCGTAATGGCAGCCAAACGGGCTGCTTAAGTTTAGCAGACCCACAGTAAACTATCCCTTGGGAGTCCCACTCTGTGCCAAGCATGGTGCTTGAGAGTGCAGAAGTGAGCAGGCACTGTCCCTGTCTTCTGGACCTCACATGACATTGATAGGCAAAATTAGCAAGTAAGTGAATGACAAGTTTGATATCAGAATGTAATAAAGGTTCTAAAGGAAAGAAATGACACAACTTGGTCAGGGGGTGAGGGTGGCATCACTTGCCATAGAATGATCTGCAAGAGCTGCTCTGTGACATCGACCTGAGACCTGAAGAGTGAGGAGCCAACCACGCACAGACTTAAAGGGGCCACTTTCCAGAGTCTACAGCCGCTACAAAGGCCCTGGGGTGCAAAAGAGCATGGTTATTCAAGGAGGCGAGGGAGAGAAGGGGAGAGCAGGACACAGGGCCTGCAGGCCCAGGGAGACCTCTGGCAATAAAGTCACATTTTCCCTCTTGCATCTTGTATGTTACACTTTATTCTTCCATTTGACATGTTTGTTAGGCATTTTTTGGTGCCAGGCACTGTGCAAGAGGCAAGAGTAGACAGCAAGCACATAAACAATGAGACCAAGATAGCCAGAGTGCCTCTGAGCCGTGTCAGCTGAGAAGGGAAGTTCACGTTGAAATAAAAGTCACGGGAACACTTTGGGTCTGGTGAGAACATGAAAAGGAGTTTCAAACTTGGGCTCAACCCCCTTGCAAGAAGCAGTTAAGAAAGAACACAGACCCATGAGTCAGGCTAATGAGGTGCAGTCCTACTCTAGCCGTGTGAGCTCAAGCAAGTGCTTAGCCTTCCTGAGCCTCAGGACCCCTGTGTGTCCTGCTTCTCAGCTCTTGCTCATAGTAGGTGAGAGAGTTTAACGTGGTGAGCCCAGCGCCTGTCATATAGCAAGTGTTCCAGATGCATCAGCTGAACAGCAGTGGAGCATTCTAGCATTTAGGTGGGACAGAAATAGTCTTTAATGATCCAAATCTACTGAAGCTCATAAAAATGAGTTAGGAAGAGGAGTTTATGGTGACTACCAAAGCCTGAAGTTCATAGGTAGCCATCTTGGAATCCATTATGAAATCAGGGTACCTGCATGAAGTTTTATTTGTCCTCTCTTTGTTTCCCTCACCCCTTGTAAAACCACAAGTAGTTTTTGTGTTTATTGCTATTGACCTTGAGGAAATAGAATAGTTTGCTTTACTCTTTGGATGTGTATTACGCATTAAAGAAAATACAATAACGTCTCAAAGTTTTGAAAGGCGAGGGAAAGAATTTCCCATGATTTCATCGCCCCAAACAAACAACACATAGACGGTTTTTGTGTCTCCTCCCTATTTTTGTTTGCAGACATCTTTTCATGGTTGCAGGAGAGAGGACCATGGCCTTGCCTCCGTGCAGCACCCTTCCCCCTTCCTTGGTACGGCAGGAAGCTTCTCGTGCTGTGATCTACGGTATTAATGAGGCTAATTTCTTACCAGGACATGAAGGTGTATCTGGTGGCTTCTGCCAGAATTTATTTAGGTCTTTTTCTGCAGGAAGACATTTTGGTTGCTTCCAGTGTTACATTATTTTCTACTAAACTATAATGAGCAGCTTTACGAATACAGTGTTTTCTTTCTTTTGGCCTATTTCTTTAGGATAAGTTCCCAGAAGTGGAATTTCTGGTTCAAAGGGTATGAACATTTTTTTTTTTTTTTTTTTTTTTTGGTGCCTCTCTACATATGCCAAAATGCTTTCCCCTTGGGCTGCACCCATTTTAAACTGCTTCGGCCCTCTTTTAAAAACGACTGACTTTCTCAGCCACTCTGTGACCACGTGGGCACTAACCCTGGTGACTGCCCCTAAATTCTCAGGGGCTGGCAGGTGTGGCCAGGGACACGTACGGGCAAGGTGGCTGGCACTGAGCAGAGATCCAGGGCCGGTACCAGAGCTCGGTGTGACCTATGCTCTCTTTCGGTGTCCTTGTGATCAGGGGAGGTGCGTGCCCCATTTCCAGAGCAGAAGTCTGGGCTCAAGGAAGTCACATGACTCGGAAGCCATGCTCTGACGGACTCCTTCCCCAGGCCTCTGCTCCCAGCTGCTCTGAAGCAAACTGGAGAAGTATCTTCTTGCATTGGTGCTTGGTCAGCAGCCGCCCATCCCAAATCTGTTCTCCTAGAGCAGTCTTCCCCATAGCTTGTGGAAGATCTGACAGAATAATCACTCCTTTTCAGTACGACTTTTAAATGTTTACGTGTTTATTGAACAAAGCAAAGAAATACTCTCAGTGAAAGCGTGAGTCCCAAGCCTTACGTCTTTTGAAGGCAAAGGCGTGTGTGGTTGGAAGAAAAAGGGCTTTGCAATCTGGTTATTAGTTGAGTCACCTTGGGCAGGCTGCTCACCTCCCTGGGCTTTGGTTTCCTGTCTGTAAATTGGGAACCACGAAGGGCTGTTAAACAATAACACTGTGGAGCCCCGCCTGTACCTGACAGGCGAGTGGAAGCAGAGGGTGGTTATTGTTTTGGGGGGTGATGGCATGAACTTGATGGGCCTATTCCTGACACCTTCCTGCTCCTTTGTGGGTTCTTGGCATCGTGGAGGTCATCAACATGCCTGCCAGGCCCTCGCAGATGCTCTTGGGAACCCAGCTTTTGGCCTGGTGGAGTACCCCCTCTGGGGTTCTGACCACGTGCTCACGGGTGCAGGCTTCACGAATGCTCTTCCTGCTCGTAGGGGTTGGGGCAGGAACCTGGAAAAGGGTTATTGGGGATTTAATTTTGTCTGTTCTCTATTCTATTTCATTCTGTTTGTTGTTACTATATTTTGTATTAGTAGAAATTCCTTTATGTTTTGCTTATGGAGCACAAGCAGATTTTTACCAAAGAGGGCTTTGTCAGGAGCCACACTCCAGGCTTCTTCACATCAGAGTGATAGACTGTAAAAGCCACGCACGTTTCTGTTTTCTCGTCCCCCGCTTGACCCACCCTTCCCAACCTCCACCCCGCCCCCTGGTCCTGCTTGGGGAGAAGAATGAACTTTTGACACAAAAAATGAAGCATCCTCTCAGCTTGGACCTGACTGGGATGGCACTTGTCCTCTCTCTTTCCTTCATGCCCGCGGTCATGCCGCCTTACTGGAGAGCCCACCCTGCCAGCTAGCCCAGGTGACCGCACCCCTCGCACTTTCTGCACTGGCACCTCCTGTGTGAGTGCTCAGAGGCCATGCGTGTTTCTGGGTTTAACCAGCTCGGTGCCCATCAGCTCCACCTCTCCCACCCCCGTCCTGCAATACGGCATCCACGATGCCTGACACATAAGGGGCTTAATACCTAAAATTGTTTGTTTTTTTTGTTTTTAGTGAAACTACACTTTTTTCCCCTTCTGATCAATGCAGAGACCTTCATGAAAACTGTACTTTAAAATGTGAAGAACAGTCAAGTCAGATACTCCTGCCTACCCCACCCCACCCCCATCTTCATCATGATTTCAAAACATCTTTCTCTGGTGCTTTGGTTTAGAAAGGAGAATGAGAGCGCCCAGAATCCTCGGTGCGATAGGGTCGTTCTTGTCATTCTCTACTCAGGAGATCAAGTAACTGGGCCCTCGGGCTCCAGGGTTTCGACACACTGCTGGGCATCATCGTTCCTGGCCCCAGGAGCCAGTTTAGCCTAGCTCTGTGCAGGTGGCAGCTGCCCCCACCTTATTTCAGGGGGTACCTTGTACTCTACGGGCAGCCTCCCCCCTCGGTGTTCCAGGCTGAGAGACCGCAGAACTGGAAACAAGAAGACCCAAACATGGGCTGGGATTCATCTCTGTGTGGCTCACCAGTGGCGACAGTGTCTGTGCCCAGGCCCTCCCCCGTGTCCAGCGGGGGAGGACCTGCAGTGGAGGGTGGCCGCCCAGAGTGAACATGCTCAGGCCGTGCCCCCGCCAGCACCGTCACAGTCCCCGGCAGCCTGCGAGGGAGGGATCACCTTCCCTTGACAGATGAGCAGAGCACGCTCAGGGAGATCAGGGCCTTGCCAGACCACTTGTGTCAGACCCCCTTGGGCAGGCCCTTCAGCTCAAGTCAGGGAACAGGCCCCTGCTTCCTGGCCTCTAGTTGGCGGGCTGCCAGCCCCAACCCAGGAACCAGGGAAGGTGCCATCAGGGCAAACCAGCCCCACAATGAAGGCTGCTTTCTGCAAAAACTCTTCCTCTGGGGCCTGGGATTCTGCTTTCCTCCTGCTTTCGGCACAACTGACTGATGGCCACACTGGACTCTGCACAGGCCCCTCTCCCTGGGCTTAAGAAATGCTGGCCGGTGTGGATGGAGTTGGCGGGGAAGTCCGCGGGGCACTCAGGACACCTGATGTCACCTGCCAAGTGCCAGGAAATAGCCCTGTAAGACCTAAGGGGCCGCAGCTCTCAGGAAGGGGCTCCCCAGGGAGGCCGGGCAGGGTGAGATAGAGATTGGCAGCTCTGACCCCACAGGCATCTGCCTTCAGTCTCCCCCGGAGATGGGACTTGGAAACACTCTCAGTCGTGATTTGGAGCCCTAAATTCAGTGCTGGCTGAGCCGAGAGAGGCCACGTGCTAGCCCTCAATGGATGTGGCCCGGCCGTGGGTCTCAGAATGCCGCCTACAACTTGGGGCTGCCGGCTGGGCAGGCAGGGGTGTCCTGACACTAGGGAAGAGGGGCTCACAAGTGACAGGTGCTCAGGTGAGGTGAAGTGACCCAAACCTGAACCCCTGGATGTCTGAAAACAAGCCCCTCCCCTTTGGGCTTTGGCGTCTTTGTTCTGAAAGCATCAGAACCACAGTTCTGGGAAAGGTGGGCTTTGTTTTAAGAGTCACTGCGTGATCCTGTACGTGGACATGACTGCTCTGCTCTCTGACCGGTCCAGGCCATCCGGGTGTTCTTCATGCTCCGGTCCCTGTCTCTGCAACTGCGAGGGGAGCCCGAGACCCAGTTGCCGCTGACGCGGGAGGAGGACCTGATCAAAACGGACGACGTCCTAGACCTGAGTGAGTTGTCCATCCTGAGTCCAGCGCGCCCGCAGGGCCGGGGGGCACCCACCCCACTCACTCACTCACCAGAGTCAGTGCACAAACTGCATTTTGTATGGTGGCTGGCCTGAGACCTTGCACACCCCACAAAGCCTTCAGAAAGGGGACCCCAGATTCTGGGCCCTGCAGTCTGCCTGAGGACTCTGAGCAGGTGAACCTGTACCAGGCGCTGCCAGCTCTGTGCAAGGTGACTGGGGTCTCCCATGTGATGGGCACCCTTCAGGGTCCGTGCTCCCCATCAAGGCAGCACCAGAGTGATTGGTTTTGTGCATGAAGGTTTTCCCATGTGATTCTGCTGATTAAAAGATTCCGCTGCTTAAAAAAAAAAAAAGCTTTTAAAAATGCAAAGCCCCAGTGTTTAGGCAAAGATGAAAACTTGGAGGCCGGAGAACCGTGTGCTCAGCCTGTAACCTGGGGCTGCTCACAACCCTGCCGGGCCTCGGCGCTGTCTTCTGCAACAGGAGAGAACAGTATAAAGCCGCCCGTGTTGCTGAAACCCTTCTCCTGTAGGCTTGTGTCGCTCGTGTAGCTTTCTCTGTCCTCCACTCGCGGGCACATGCACGCAGAAGGGCAAGATGATTTTCCATCTCTTGCAGGCATTGTGGTATATTACAATTCTTTGGTAATAAGAGACAGAAAACCCAGTTTGGGCTGGCTTAAGGAAAAAGCAAGGGAATTGGCTGATGTCACTGGAAAGTCCAGGAGGACTTCGGTTTTCAGGAACGGCTGGGCCCTGGCGTTTAAGCAGTCACCAGAAAGCTGCCCTCCTCCTTCCCTCAGCTCAGCTCGCCCCTGCTCTGGCCTGTCCTCCTGCAGGCTCTCACCAGGTGGGGGCAGGATGGCTGTCAGCGGTCTTCACCGACCTGGAGCTTCTTTCCCTGTAGCGCATAGAGAAGTCCAGGGAAGGTTCTCATTGTCCAGACTGGCGTTGGGTGCCCATTTCTGAGCCACTCAGAAATCAGAGGACTGTGACTCGCTGATTGGCTAGGCTGGGTGACATGCTCAGCCTGGAGCTGAGAAGTGGAGCTGGTTCCTCTTGAGCCCCATCACCTGAGTGTGAGGGCAGAGGAGCCTCTAGAAGGTGATACTCACAAAGGAGAGATGGAAACCGGGTGGCAGGAAGAGCAGATGGCCTCTCCTTATTGTGTATGAGGAGGAGCAGGTCCTTGTGGTTTGGTTTTTATTTTATCAGTTTCGTTAAAAAAATAGTTTACATCCCATGAAAGTCACCAAGTTTGAATGAACAGTTGAGTGAGTTTGACAAAACAGTTCCGTTGCCCGGCCAGTGCTCACGATGTAGATGGCGGAGGGCTGGCTGGAGCCAGGGGCACCGCCCTGTTGTTCCTCCAGCAAATGAAAAGAAACCGCACAGCTTTTGTTTCCTCGCCTGAAAAATGGGGTTGAAATTCCTTATATCACAGGATTGTTGGGAGAATCTAGTGACATATAATAGGAAACATGAAATAACCGGGTGTGGTGCCTTGCGTAGACCTGTGGTCGGGGTGCTGCGGCCATTGTCCCCACCGAGTGTGCAGCGCTGCGGAGTCAGAGAACGCTGCCTCTGGCCCGTTCCTAGGGTTTAACCTGCTGTTCAGCTTGTCTTCTTTTTTTTTTTTTTTTAAGATTTATTTATTTATACAAGAACCGGGGTACAGGCCAGATGTGCGGGAGGGTGAGAGGATTCACCAGAGACAGAGCAGGGAGCAGAACAGGCAGACTGACGTAATACACTGCTGAGGGGAGCAGCGGGTGAGATAGGAGAGGTCTGCTGCGCCATGTGGGATTCTCGCCGGCCTGCCGGGATTGAACCCACGCTGCAGAGGCTGCGGACAGCTTCACAGCGCGGTGCTCAACCGCCTGCGCCACCAGGGAGGCCCTCTTCTTGCCTTCTTGCTATGCTCTTTTCTTCCCCTTTCTTGAAATAATAGGACGCTCTGTCCCCTCTTTGCTCTGCGCCCCTTCCTTTGACCCTTTACCCCTTAGGAAAAGGCCAGGGGGTTCCTGTAAGGGTCTCAATGGATCAGGTTGACTGGTGAGAACATAAACGATTCTTTCTCTGGTTTGCTGCGAGGAGAGAGGGACAGCCTGCTTTACAGAGGGCCACTCCAGCAGGACAGCAGGAACGTTTGCACCCATGAAATGGAATTAAATTTGATGCTGGGAATTCACATTCTTTCCCTTCTCCCTCCCCCACGGAGGAGCCTGCTGAAATAAAGGTTAAAAGTCTTTCACTTATCAATTTTAATTGATTAGATTTCTAGTTGAGATTCACTTAACTGAGCCTTTTTTTGGGTGGTTGGCCATTAAGAAAGTAATGGCTGTCTGTCTTTATCCAGCCTGATTGCAAACTACATCTTTGCTAAAGACGGGAATGTCCAGAAAATACTGGGAATTATGGATTTTACAAGCACTTGTACCAGAATAAGACATGCATGTGTTGTCCTTTGGCTTCAGAGGGTGTGTGTGGTGTGTGTGATTGTTTTTTTAAAGGCTGGAGCTTCTTATCCCCCATTGGGAGATAAGATTGCCCTGGCGTGTATATATAACAGAGGCAGCCTCCTCTCGTAGGTGAGAAGTGACTGGAAGCTAGGCCTGTGAGTGGAGACCAGCAGTGTTTTGTCTCCCTAGGGTTGCTCAACTCTTATCTAAGGTGATATGGCCTGACAGGTGGCTCCAAGTGTTTGCTAAACTTGTCACACTTTGATAAGAAACCACAAAGTAGGAGTCTTAGGAAGCCACCTCACACCTGTGAACTGGGAGAGAGGGAGGGGATGGAAAGGCAAAACTAGACAGAACAGTTGCTTTTTAGAGAGAAGAGCATCGATCTCCACATATCCTGCTTCAGCTTCACAGTTATCACCCTTCTGATAAGTCTTGTTTCATTTGTCCACTATTTCTCTTTAAAATTACCCTCCCCGCCCCCCCACCCCGTTTTAAAGCAAATAGAAGACATCATAGTATTGTATATATTCTTTTTCTAAGAGATACGAATTTTAGGTTACTCTTTATATCTGAACTGGTGGCCACCATTGTAAATCCAGGGCTTCCGCAGCCTGGCTGCTGCGGTGTGGGGGGCATGGCAGCCCCTGGAGATGGGCCTGTGTTCTCCCTCCCTGCAGTGCCCCCTGGGCCTGTTGACACTGGGTTTTGCAGCCTTGGCGCACTTGGGGTCGTCAGCTTTTCATGCTTGTGAGGCTAGGTGGCCTTGCCTTTAAGACAGTTCTAAAAGACTATGCAAGGGAGCCATGGACGATCAAAGGGGGTCACCACAAAGCACACAGCTCTGCCAGGTGCATAGTAGGTGCTCATGGCTGACAGCTGGCTGTTGTCCCTCTTGCAGCTGCTGGAAGCAAGTTGCAACTCCTGCTGTGGGCCTGCAAGGGGAGCACTATGTTTTGGGGGGGGGGTTTGTTTTTTTAAAGATTTATTTATGCATATAAGAACTGGAGTACAGGCCAGAGGTGCGGGGAGGGGGGTGAGAGGATCCACCAGAGACAGAGTAGGGAACAGATCTACTGAAAGACACTGCTGAGGGGAGCAGTGGGCGAGTCAGGAGAGGTCTGCTGCACCATGTGGGTAGCTCCCTCGTGGGCCAGGGAATCGAACTCATGCTGCAATGACTGGTGATAGCTCGATAGCGCTGTCTTTAACCCCTGCGCCACCAGGGAGGCCCGGAGCACCATGGCACCCTGAACGCACCTGATCTCGTCTGATCTCGGAGCACTATGTTTTGGCAAGCAAGATGGGGCAGACGGAGTGGGGGTGGAGCTGGGGGCTAAGGGGTGGGGAGACTACCCCCTCAGGATCTTTACTTTTTCTCTTTGGGCTTTCTCTGGCATCATCTCCCCCTCATAGCCATTCTGCCATCGCCATTTTCCACCGCACCTGTTCTCTGTGTGACGCTGCCCTCATAGCCTCAGCCTTTAGGGTCAGGTATGCCAGGCTCAAGGTGTCCACCACCAGTGCCCTGCGCCCACACTCCCAAGCGCCTCATGCATTAGCACAATCAAGGCCACAGGTGATAGCCACAGAGGCTGGCGGCATAAAAACCTGACCGTCTCTATTTACCCTACAACTGCTTCTGCTCCTTTCGAGGAAATACCCTGAGATATTCCAGCCAGCTTGTCCTTGTGTGATGGCAGTGTTTGGGGGTAAGAAAGATGGCTCCGGACTCAGGACAGGGATGTGGGGAGCATTCCCGCACACTTGTCCGGGGCCAACCAGCTGACAGTCCCCAGCTGAGGACCAGCAGGCTTTGGGGAGAGGCTGGCTCCCTGCCTGGATTGACCGTGCAGCCTACTGAAGGGGGTCTTGTCTATTTCCAAATAACAGGGCAGTCATGGGAGGGGGAATGTCACCCATTATCCAAACTCCCTAAGGACATTCCAGGCAGCTGGGCACCCTCAGCTTCCAGTGTCCTTCCTACCCTTTCCACGGACACTTGATGTGCATGTAGTTAGGATCTGCGTGCCACTCTGCCTCCCACATCCCATCATGTCTCCTGAGTTGTCCTGTCCATTAGGAAATCCATTAGGCAAAATCAGTCCATTTACTGGGATATGAGCAAAGACCAGTCTGTTCTTATGGCGTTTCCAAGTTGGGGGGCAGAGGGGAGGAACCACAAACAGGTCAGGCAATGCATGAGCACAAGTTGGTTGGAGTGGCTCTAGGGGGGGTGATCACCAGGTTCTGCACTGGAGAATCACTAGAAGAGAGACCTCGGGCCTCCCTGGTGGTGCAGCAGTTGAGCACTGGGTTGCAAAGCTGCCTGCAGCCTCTGCAGCACTGGTTTGATCCCCGGCTGCTCCCAGCCACCGGAGGAGGGTCCCACATGGCACGCAGACCTCTGCTCCCCTCAGCAGTGTACTTCGGTCCTTCTGCCTGCTCTGCTCCCCGCTCTGGTTCTGGTGAATTCTCTTACCCTCCCTGTAATTCTGACTATACCCAGTGCTTGTATA